GCATCTTCTATATTCATTGATGAATCGGAATATGATGCGGCTCTATAGGTGTGTGTGCGTTACACACATGTGCTTTGGCTTTGTCCATTATATAGTGAGACAGGCAGGCAGGCATATTCTTTCATTAATGTATGATGTTTATGCGCTTAAGAATCAAAGAATTTGCAAGAATTTGTTTTGTTTGTCTTGATTGTTAAGCAGAATCATATTTTTTTCATTCATTTTTTTTTCATCTGAATTTGATTATAATAAAAAGATCTTTGATCTTTGCAGCAACAAAGTGGGAGAAAGAAAATTATTATGGAAATTAACATTGGATTCCAACGATGAAACACCTTCTGACATTTTGTTTCGGATTTTTTTGTTTTGTCAAAAATAACAAAAACAAAACAGAAAAAGAAAAGAAAAGAAAAATTTGAATTTCATATGAGGCTGATGGATGAACTTTTACCAAATGTTAAATGAATGAATGAATGGAAAAAGGCGTTTTTTTTGCAAAGAAAACGCAAAAAAATGTATTTTCCTTTGCTTCAATGATGTTTCAATTTGTATCCAGATCTTTTCTGTGTCAAGACTTCTTGATGACACCTTGAAGATAAAGCCATTCTTTGAAAAAACTAAAAACAACAAAAAGAAAAGAAAAGAATCATTAATTATCAAGAATTGACCACACACAAACAAACAAACAAAAGTTTACCTGTCTATTATTGCTCTCTAGAGAAAAAGGTGAAAAGTTGTTGTCGATGGTGGTTTTGATTTGTCACAATTTTTCTGGTTTTTTGGCTTTTTGAAAAATGAATTTCATTTTTTTCAATTAATCAAATTCATTCAGTTTTTTGGATTCGAAGAAAGTTGTTTTGTTTTGTTTTGACATTTCTGCCATTGGCTTTTTACACACCCAACAACAACAAAGATTTACAAACAACATGTGGCCCATTCTTTTGACATTCTTAACACCAAAACAAAACAAAGATAAAATGATCTGGTCTCCAGAGATTTAACAACCAAAACATTATCAAATAGCCGATGATTTTTTTGAAGTAATTGATCTTCTTTTTCGTTTGTTTAATAAGTCAATTATAGGTAAAATGTCTGCAAATGAATGAAATTAATGAATTTTTTTGCCATAATTAATAGATAAAGATGTTACTTACTTGGCAAAAACATTTGAAATTTCTTTGAAATTTCTTCTGAAGTTTTTTTGCTTGTTGTCAAACATTTTTTTTTCATTGATGACCGTTGTCCACCACCACCACCACCAAATTGAACATTATGGTGGTGGTGGCCATAAAAACATTTTGAAATTCCTGTTAAGTTTTTCAAATGATTTTTTTTTATGATTTACAACCAACCATCAACGAAAAAAATAACACCGGAAAAATACTTTGGGCCAAATAAATATCATTATGGTTTCTTTTTTCATGTTTCTTT